TGCGGTATGAAGTGGTATATGAATGAAGCTGCTTTGCTATATGAGGCAGAAGCCTCTGGACACACATGTGGTGGTTGATGTTGTCGTAGTGGATTGCTGTGGATCGTGTTGGATGATTACTGTAAATAGCCTTGTACATAGAAGAACTAAGATTAAAGCCTCATCTGAGAGACGCCTGTCTGTGGAGTCTCTTTACTCTGTCTGGAAGGGGAGAGGTGCTTCTCCAGCTGACAAGCTACCTGCTGCATCTGAGAAGAGTGTGATCCTGGTACTGCACGTCTATGTGGATCTTCACGCACTGCGTAACCACACTAACAAGGGTTATGGGCCCAGTCTTCGCCAGCGGTTCCGACTAGATGATAGTGTGAGTAGCTGTTTGTGTCTGAATTCCAGAAGAGTTGCATTTTGCTATCTGAGTGCCAGAAGGCAGAGTTAAGAAGCTGAGCTGTTTAGCTGTGCTCCTTATCTACAGAAGATAGTGAAAGCTGGGAAGGCTGCCAACACTTTGCATTTGTCTTGTTTGTTTGCCAGCATGGAATTTGCAAGATTCCTGAGGCTGAATGACCAGAATTACTCCCAGTGGGTAGTTTATGCCAAGGCAATCCTAGTGAGGGAGGGTCTCTGAGATCCGATTGAAGAAGGGCCCTCAATCAAGAATGCTGAGCTTGATAGGAAAGCACACGCAACTATCCGTGTCAGTTTGGACCCGGGCCAGCTGGACCATGTGCAAGATAAAAGATCTGCTCAGGAGGTCTGGTCTGCTTTGAAAAATGTACACCAATCTGACTCTGCACTGTCAAAAATGCTTTGGAACAAAGGCTGTATGCCTGCAAAATGCAGAAAGGACTGTCTCCAGAGGAGCCTCTGGCCACAATGAAGCACTTGTTCTTGGAGGTGGAGTCCCTCCCAAAAGAACAAAAGACTTACGTCCCGTTGGGCAGTTTGTCTAGTGACTTTGATCACATATTGTATAGCCTGCAGGGGGTGCCAGAGAGTCAGCTCACAATGGACTTGGTGTCAACACATGTCTTGGGAGAATGCCAGAGACAGCGTTTTGAGACTGGCATTCAGAGACAGCAACGAGCCGAGCCAACAACAAACACACCGCCACAGGCAGTTCAAAGGACTGAGAGTGCAGCTGTCTGTAAGGTAAAAAGATGCTTTAATTGTGGTCAGCCAGGGCATTTTCAGAAGGACTGCACAAAACCACCTGCTGTCAGAAGGAAACAACAACACCGGTCTCCTGGGAACAGGAAAGGAGTTGTTTTGGCAGTGAAGGACAAGCCCATCTTGCTATTGCTGTCAGACATCAGTGGATGATCGACAGCGGTGCAATTCACCACCATGTGAACCACAGGTCCCTGCTGAAGGACAGGAATTCCTCCTGTGTTGACTCAGTGGGCTTGGCTGATGGGGGTTCAGGTCATATAAGGGACACGGGGACTGTGCATTTCCCAGGGTTTGAAAAGGACTTTGAGAATGTACTGTGTACTCCCCAGTTACAAAACTGTCTGGTCAGTGTGTCATCACTGACTACAGATGGGTATGCCCTGCATTTTGTGGGGGATGAGTGTGTGATCACCAGAGGGGGGCAGATTTGTGTCTGTCCATAAGCACAACAGGCTTTATGATCTAGATGCCCAGGCAGAGTGTGCCACTATCTCCACAGGGTTCACAGGTCTGGAAAAACTGAAAAGTGTGTGCCCAGGGCTGAAGTGGGATGAGTGCAGGAATCACTTGTGGAGCCATGGCTATATGAGGCAGAAGCCTCTGGACTCATGTGTGGTGGTTGGTGTTGTCGTTGTGGATCGCGTTAGATGATTGCTGCAAATAGCCTTGTACATAGAGGAACTAAGATTAAAGCCTCATCTGAGAGACGTCTGTCTGTGGAGTCTCTTTATTCTGTCTGGAAGGGGAGAGATGCTTCTCCAGCTGACAAGCTACCTACTGCATCTGAGAAGATCATGATCCTGGTACTGCACGTCTACATGGATCTTCACGCACCGCGTAACCACACTAACATACCCATGCCTCAATTTCTTCCTCCCAGTGACCATTTGACCCTGTAAATCCTTGTGGGGTAGAAACTTTACCATCTATTTTAAAAAAAAGCATTGCATGCATAGATGGTGCTGAAACAACAATAACAAAGGTCTTACATAGATTATAATAAGTTACGGAAAGTGCAGCCTTTGGGCCACATATTTCCCCTTCCACCTTTTACATTTCTATCAAGGTGGTTGTCCTATGCACATTTACTTAGAAAGATACTCCATTCAGCATAACAGGACTCACTTTTGAGTAAACACAGAATTATGTATAGATTATTTGGTTTGGTTTTCCTAACTGGAGTTGTATAATTTTTGCTTGTGTTTTGCAAACTATGTGTTCACTACTTTCCAGACTCCTTCCATAGAAAAAAAAGAAGAAAAACCAGAGCCCTGGGACCAGAGTTTAAATAGGATAGAGCAGTAAACTGATCAGATTTATCTGCACACACAGGTTGCTGTTCTCTACCTTCTAATTATTTCCAATTTATGGTGACCCTAAGGCAACCATATCATAGATTTTTCTTGCCAATATTTGTTCAGAGGTGCTTTGCCTTTGCCTGAGAGTGTGACTTGCTCAGGTCATGCAATAGGTTTTCATTGCTGCATGGGAATCTGAATGCTGGTCTCTACAACTGCAGTCCAATGCTCAAATCACTATACCACACTGGCTCCCCACACACTCCTTGAAAAAAAGCCCTTCTTCTTGCTGCTGGGTGGGCTCTATTTGGTGCATGAAATGCCAAGACAAGAACCCCATCACCTTCGTTCTTCTCCTGGACCAGCAAGGAAAGGCAGAAAACAGAAGTAAGTTCTGAATGCAGTCATGTTTAGGGGTGGGAACCCTCTGACTAGAAAATAAATCACCTCCATTTATTCTCCCTGCGGCTGCCTAATTTCCCTGTGCTAAACCAGGTCTACTCACCGTGAACAGATTATTTGATAGCAATGAAAGTCAGAACTTTAATAAACAAAACTACAGTACTGCTTTATCTCCTTCTCAGGCAAAGACCACTCTAGCAGCCAGCCAGCCAGCCAGCTAGAAGCAACAGAAAGACAGAGCCAATTTCCAGTTGAGGAAGGAAGGTACAGTGCCCCCTTGGTATCTGCTGGGGTTTGGTTCCAGGACCCTCTGTGGATACCAAAATCCGTGGATACTCAAGTCCCATTATATAAAATGGCATAGTAAAATGCTGTCCCTTATATAAAGGGGCAAAATCAAGGTTTGCTTCTTGGAATTTATATATTTTAAAAATATTTCCAAACTGTGAATGCTTGAATCCAGGGATAAAAATCTGTGGATATGGAGGGCTGACTGTATATTATATTTGGCTCTAAGACAGACGTCCACTTCCCTTATGAAGTTATTTTTCAGGATAGCTTGAAGGAAGAGACAATTTTTGCCCAAATATAGATAGTGAGAGACAAACCCTGCTCCTGACATGCTGTCTCATAGGCTTACACTGCCCAAACTCATTGCTTCTTCCGGTTGGGACTTTCTAAGTAAATATAAACAATGCACATAATGCTTTGTTGGGGGGGGGGGACCCCACATTCTCTTTTAAGATAAGCAGAGCTCCAGAGCTATGGTCAGAGAAGCAACATTAAGCTTATTATTTGAGGGAGGTGAGGAGTAGGGATTTGCTGGATGGTTTCCACTGTAGACACACAGAACCAAGAGATGACCCTGCAGAACTCCTTACTTCATATATGCATCAATGAACCTAATGTATCACAGTAGATAGGAAAAACACTAGTTGTATCCAGGATAACACCGTAGAAAAAATAAAAGAGGTGACAGGTTCTGCTGGTGACTGTGTGTTCCAATAGCCACTCTGAAAGTGCTTGTACAATGGCTAGTGTAAACAGAATCAAAGTACTGGATTTGACATGCATAAAAGAATGAAAATGAGGCTTCCACAAGCAAAGCTTCGGCTCCATCAGAAAGACACCACTGGATATAGCTTGGCTCCTAGGTTCCTATGAATAAAACTCTGTGCAGGGAACGTTCCCAGTTGTGGAAGGAACATGAGAGGAGATTTTCATTCCTTCACCCTCTGATAATCTGCTCCAGAAGTTGGGAGGACTCTCTGGAACAGCATGTGAGATGGCATCGAGTCCATAAGTAAAAAATGGCATCCCTTTCTGTCATGGGAGCCTCTAATGGATACAGAGTTGCTTCTTTTTTTTTTTTTTAAAAAAAAAATTAGATCCATTGTTTCATTTTACAGACATACATCCAAACATATAACCAAATACAGAATCAACCTTCTATCTTCTTATCTCCTTTCTTAAGAACTTGAGTTTAAGCGTATCGATAGGTATGTTCTTCCTTCTCTTAACATTTATAACCGTACAATACATTTTTTAACTTCAATAGTTTGTTTCTAATAAGATTGAGCACCGTACCCCATCATCAGTTCAATCCAATAACTATTTACAAGTATTTACATACATCCAATGGACACATATTACAGTATCTATAACAGTATAATGTTATTAACATATATCTAAGTCTTCCCCTACTTAAGCCTTCTAATTTGCAATATCTTTGGACCATCTTTCCTTACAATATTGCACCAATCGTTCCCAGTCTTTTCCCCATCCTTGCTTTCACTCTTCATCAGGACCAATTTCTTCATGAAAATCAATAGCTCTTACCTACCATACAGCAACAATTTATGAATCCACCTTACTTCATTAACTCACAGGACATTCCAATAGCTCATTCATCAATGTAAATCCAAACTCAGTGACATTCCAGTGCAAGAACCATTTGTGTTACCTCATGAAATCTGTTCTACTAGAATGGGTAATTGTACTCCAAACCTAGGCTTACCATTGTTTGTTGTTGTGTGCCTTCAAGTCGTTTCTAATTTATGGCGACCCTATTATTGGATTTTCTTGGCTGAGAGTATGTGACTTGTCCAGGGTTACCCCAGTGGGTTTCCATAGCAGAACTGGGCTTTGAACCCTGGTCTCCAGAGTTATAGTCCAATGCTTAAACCACCACACCATGCTGGCTCTCTTTACCACTGTTACAGAGGAAAAATTAGAGGAAAAAATGAAGGCAAAAGTAAACAGGATTAAAACATATGTTTATTGCAGTGACAGTCAGCCCTCCATATCTATGGATTCTTTATCTATGGTTTCAACTATCCATGGCTTGAAAATATTCCAAAACATTTCAAAAATATATACATTTGAAAAAGCAAACCTTGATTTTGCTATTTTATATATGGGACACCATTTTACTATGCTATTGTATTTAATGGAACTTGAGCATCCACAGATTTTGCATATCCATGGGCCTACTGTACTTGGAAAGCTGTATGGGCACCTGAGATTATGGCCAAAAGACTCAGAAAAAGGGAAGAGGTCTGACAAACATCTCACACTTGTAGCATTTTTCATTGCACTTTGGTAGTGACAGGAAGATATACAGGCGCTTAGCTTTTATCTGCTGTTATATTTTATCCTTATCTATTTTAATACTGTTATCTAGTCACCTCAGATTTTTAAGAACAATGGTGGGATATAACTATCAGAATAACAGCAATACTCTTATAGATACAGAAATCTCATTATGGATATTCATGATTTTGCTCACCTGCAAGAGAAATAACTAATGTAGCAAAGGAATGCTTTACAAATGATTATCTTTGACAGAGGTGGGTTACAGGGTTCCAAGCAGATGCGGAATGCAAAGGTTATTGAAATAAGAAGTGTATCATTAGCTATATGACTATTGTACATCCTATTAATGTAAGAGTGTTCTCAAGCAATGAATGATTCACAAATATATTACTTTAACCCTAAGTAGAAGTATATACATTTGCTCTATCAGTTCTTTTTAAAGAAAACAGATTCTATTAATGAATTTCTATTCTTTTAATGAATTGTCATTTAAAAAAAACACCAGTTTTTCAAATTAACTGCTATGAAAAAATTAAATGTAATTTCTGAAAAATGAGGAAGTTAAAAAAAACACCCTTCCCTCTTTCTACATGCTTGGCTAAACGTCTCTTGACACAAATAAAAAGATCCTCCCCAGCATATGGAAGAGCTGCTATGCCCTTCCGGGGATGGTCTGTAGCTATGTTCACCTCAGGCACGCCAAGGAGAGGTGAATTGTCAAATGTAATTTCAATCACTGGGTGGTTTGGTTGAGGCAGATTAGTTGTATGCAATCATGATAGATAGTTTATCCCAGCCCCAAACTGCCGCTTGGGAAATCCTGCACGCAAACGAACAGAAACTCAGTCATTATTAGTGTCAAGAAGGTATACAGAGGCAAAATTTGGTTGGCAGCCAGGCAAGATGAATCAAGGAGAAAAAGTGACCAATTGCATGTTCAAAATGGAAATTGATAGGCACGTTGTAGTTTGGAGAGATTTTAAACACCAGAAAAAGGCATGCATTATTAATTGTTCTGTGATAAATATTTAAAAAGTGTTCTTTATGGAGAAATGTGATTTTTTTCTTTCTTTTTTTAAAAAAAGGTCAATGTAAATTACATGCATTAGTGTCCCAACTTTAAGTCTTGATTTTAAGATCTTTATTATGGCAAGAAACCATATATATTTTATGCAAAAGTATAAAGTTCATCTGCAACTACAAACATTTCCCAGTAAAATAATAATAATAATAATCACCATATCATTAGCATTTTTCACCAAGAAAAGGTTTATTGAAATAGTTATTTATCAAATTAAATGGGTATTTCAGGATGATGAATTGCCACTGATTAGAGAGGTCATTTTCTGTAGCCTTTTGTAAGTTCTATTTAATATTGATTTGCCTTACCAAAGCTATCAGAGTGTTATAGCAACAAGATGTTGAAACACCTAGGTGAATAATTACCAGGTTGGCCCATTAGCAAAAAAAACCCCTACCCCCCTCCAAAAGCCATCAGGTTTCATAGCCTGAAGTGATATGCTCTGACAAATCTAACAGCTCTTTCTATGTCATCCCTAATGCACTTGTCACTCAGTATTACCCATCCTCATTAATGACAATGGGAAAGTTTATCTTGGTAACACATTTTAAATCATCCACTTTTTACAATGGGGCCATGAAATCTCTTATAAAACATGAGGCGGGAACTACATTGACAACAAAAGCTCTTCCTGACAGCTTTACTCTTAATTCCTGTTCAAGGAATAATCTGTTTATCATAAAATCATACAGAACAATATATTAAATGAAATTTGAAACAAGAATAGCTAGTGTGATTTTCAAACATGTAAGTATTTTTACAACATTGCTACTAGGCTACAAATGTTACTTTAAACCAGCATAATTTACATAACTCCCTGCTAAATGACATGAACTGCTAACTATTTTTCCAGGAATTTCAGAAACCTCTAAAATGACAACATATATATATATTTGTTTGCTGAATAATTCATAAATTTATTGTGAATTTTCTAGTATATCACCACAACTATGAAAATATTTCACAAATAATTTGATATGTATCCATAAGGCCCCTGGTCAAAATGAGCTGCCCAGTACTAATTGCACAAAATATTTCATTTGGGGAGAGGAAGAGTTGCATCCAGATATATGTGAATGAATAACCATGTGTCTTAACTCATTGGCTATCCTGGTTAATTCAACTTACACAATATTTTATATGATGCCATTTTCTCTCTCTCTTGGCAGGGTTATTGTTGTTGTTAACTGTCCTCGAGTTGACTTCAACACATGGCAACCCCATCAGTGAGACACTTCCAAGCCCTGCTGTCCTCAACTGTTGTGCTCAGGTCCTGCAAGCTCAGGGCCATGACCTCCTTAGCTGAGTGTATCCATCTAATATGCAGCCTTCCTCTCTTTCTACTAACCTCCAGCTTTCCTAGCATTATTGTCTTTTCTAGTGAGTCATGTGTTCTCATGATGCGGCCAAACTACAACAGACTCAGTTTGGTCATCTTGACTTCTAGGGAGAGCTCAAGACTGATCTGCTCCAGTGGCATTCCCACACCAAGTGACACCTGGTATAGGGGGTGGGACTTCCATCCCCAGACTTCTGGCGGGGTTTCCGGAGTAGGGAGGTGCAGAATAATAATAATAATAATTGAAGCTACTGATCTGCTCTAGTAGTCATTTGTTTGACTTTCTGGCTGTCTATGTCTTTCTGGCAGGGTTACAGCATATATATAACCTTCTTTTGTTTCTGCTGGTATTTGGATTAGTTTTTAAATGGATGGATTAGTTTTTAAATGGATGGCTTTCTAACTGTGCTTTTGTCAGATGCTCTGCATCACATCCAAAGTCTTCTCACATTTAATGGGCCAAAGAGTAAGAATATGCACAAACTTGTGTTATCAACTAAGTTTGTATTTTTTCTTATTCTTTGACCCATTTAATATAGGGTGACTTTGGTACACTCTGCATTACAATGAAGCAAACAGCTCACAGAAACATAGCAAAGGAATCCAGAATCATTCATCCAGAAGGTATGTGCCAGATTTTTAGCTTCTCAAAAAATCAACCTTGATTCACAGAAAAACTACCTATGAATGCCATTGCTATTTACGCCAAAAAATGCATATTATGGATGTTCTGACAGGGCAGCTATTATGCTCCTTTTACTCTACACTACTATAGTACTATAATACACTTAACCATCATGACTCCATTCTTTGGAATCTTGGGATTTGCAGTTTAGGGAGAGGCCTTCAGAATTTTCAGTCAGAGAGTTCCAGTGGATCGGGAAATTACACACCCCAGGATAAGCTATGGCAGTTAAAGTGGAGTCATACCACTATAATTGTGTAGAGTGAAAGGGCCCTTTTTCAGAAAATGGAAGAAATACCCAGAGATGTGCCCACTCTAGCTAAAGAGAGATGTGTAAACAGGGTTTCTGTGAACGTATTACTTACATAATTAGGTACTAAGGGAGTAAACTGAATATGCATTCAGTTATCTATTTGCACTGCATTGCATTCAGTATGATTTTGTACTGGGATTTCCATAAAAAAATACAACCTCAGCAGCAGCCTGTTGTTTTTGTGTGCCTTAAGTCATTTTTGACTTATGGCAGCCCTAAGGCAAACCTATCGTGGGTTTTTCTGGGGCTACGAATATGTAATTCACCCAAGGTCACCCAGTGGGTTTCCATGGCTGAGTGGGGAATCAAACTCTGATCTCCAGTGTTGTAGTCCAATGCTAAAACCACTACACTATGCTGGCTCTCAGCAGCAACCTAGTCACACATAAATGCCCCTTTAAAGAGTCCAAGCAGGATACTGGTATTTGGCCCTCAAACATATCAAGAAAGTAGGTTTTTACTAAAGGTTAAAAGGAATCTCCTAACAGGAATCACTGTTTGAAAATGTAACAGACTGTCAGAAGTAGTAGAGAAGTCTCCTATTCTAGAGGTATTTAAGAAGGTGCTGGAGGGCAATCTGCACTTAAATTAAATTAATTGCAGTGTAATTCTATTTGAGCAGGAGATTCAACTAGATCAGTACATCTCAGGCTATCTGATGAAGGGGACCAGCAAATTCCTTTTCTAATGTGCTTAGGGCTAGTACCATATTTCTGCACATTGGTTACAACTGTTTATTTCTTTTCTGGAAACTTACCAGTGACTAGCAGCTGATTGCTAATGGGTCAGCACCAGTCAATACACCAACACTTTAAATAGCATTTAACTGAATGTCTGAAGTACTTTCCAGCTCTCTGAACTGCATCCAATCAGCAGAGTGGCCACAAGTAGTTATAACCCTATGATTCTAATCTTTATATGAGGTTTCCAGGCCTTAATATGCCACAATGTGCATGCTGAAATTAGTACATGTTCTAATCAGACATTAAATATTAGAAAAAATTGACTGAAATTTATAAAAAAGCAATCAGCAAGGATTAGATTTACTTTAAGGCTTCAAGGATGTACATTCTCATCTGGAAGAAAGTCCCACTCAACAGTTAAGCACCCTTGCACACTTGGTGCTGTATTTTTGGATCCTCATATTTTTATATCTCATATCATAGATAGCATGTTTTTGAGAGATCAA